GTCGTTCGGGCGCTGTTGTTCTTCCGGTTCTCGGGTCTGGGTTTCGGAGGGTTTCTGTCTTCTCTGTCTTTCAAAGGGAGGTTCGATGATCTGAATTTTTAATCTCAGTTGGTTTACTTCCATCAGGATGAGCATGTCGACGTCCAAATCTTCGAGGCCAGGACGGCAGACGGCCGCACATTCCACGAGGATCCTGGGTTTGGTTTGGTTTAAAACTAACTAGACTTCTTTCTTCAGGGTTCTGCTTCTTCTAATCCCCCCGGTAGGGTTCTGTTTTCTTGGCTTGTTTCGCCGGGTTCGCAAACACTCCAGGCGCGCCACACGCACCGGTGCGACCTGTCCAAGCGCCGCTGGCGTCGCCAGATCCGCTTCCGGCCGGATGCAGGTGGAGGGGGAAGGGGAAACAAATTTTGAGGTGTGGTTGCTAGAGTGGGTCTTCTTTTTAGACCTTTCTCTTTGGACGAGCCCAGGGCTCACTCGAACGCATGACGTGCGCCCCTTTGGGTTTCACGGAATTCGTAAATTCATTGCAAATTTTGAAGCCAACCTGGAGCCGCCCCTCCCGGGGGCAGGGAAATGAGTCTCCATCATAACCCAATCAGGATCTATGTTCGGCCGGCCAACGAATATAATTCATGCTCCGCTTGTCAGAGGTCCAGGAGGCGAGACAAGAAGAACCCCCTCGCAGCCAGGTCGCCGCGTACAGTGTCGTTGTGTCCCCGGTGAGTCATGTTGGTCCGGAGAGGATGGCTGAAACCCCCTCGTTTCGATCGATCTTGTGTGCTGGCGCTGCCACATGGTAAGAGGCGCCTGATCGGGGTTGAGATCTTGTAAGAAATACATATGAGTATGAAAGTCACACCCGGATGCTGGTAGCACTGCAGGTCGACAGTGCTGAAGCAGTGCGAGGTGCAAACGACTGACGCTACGAACTCGACCTTGCCAGTCAGAGCGGGCTCCATGCCCCCGACGTGGCATCAAGAATCGCTGATGAAAACGAAAGGACCTCGCGCAGAGAAGCGCTGCATACGAAGCTGGCCGCGACCTCGTGCAGAAGTGGCGTGGGTGGTTGGAGCGTCACGAGGCCGCCGTGCTGAGAAGGGCCTGGCGACCGTATAACTCGAAAGAGAAGGTGCATCGCCCCGGAACTGCAGGATGTAGTTTCGCAGCAATGATCACTTGGCAGGTTCTGTACGAGTTAGCCCGCATGTGCAGCGCTTCTTCTTTGGAGTACAGGAACCGCTTCGAAACGTCCCAGTCAGAGGCCCCCTCCCCGAAGGACGCCGGAAAGCCAAAGCGTCGATCCCTCACATATTTAAAGCGAAAAGCATCCTCATCCGATCACGAAACAGGGGCTGCGGACAGACCTCGCAAAGTTCACCCCAACGTGGCACCCCACGTTCTGTGGGACCACACGACGACTATGAACCTCCCTGACCCGAAGAACAAGGCACCAGACGAGATGTCGCAAAGGCCTGCATGTTGACATGCATGAACCGTACGCAGGCTATGCGCGAGACGAAAATGGAGGACAAGACAACGGAGGCTGCGGCGAGGCCAGAGAATGACAGTGCGGCAGAGCCTAGAGCAAGGAGAGGCTAAGCATGCCCGGGACGTCTCGGCGGCCAAACACGAAGGCCGAGACGCGCTCGCAAAGGCGGGCCGGCTCCAGAAGAAGGAGGAACACGCCAAGCTTGCGAGGAGGAGAAGCAAAACCAGGCTGCAAGCCTCCGAGCTGTGTCAGACATTCACTTACTGCATAGTTTTCATAAGATCCGGCAGGCGGCGCCTCATAAGCTCAAGGACCTGCGCGAAGTCAACCGACAGAATGCGGCTAATTGCGGGCCCGCAAACAAGGCCAGCAGTGACCGTCAGAGCAGATGGAACCCACTGGCAACACAGTTCTTGCATAACTTGCGACTACACTCCTTGCGGACGAATACGGCTTCGACCGTAGGCAACGTTCGAGGAACTAGAAGTTTGCTGGCCCACCGCCCGGAGCTGCTGTTCGTGCCACCACCTCACCCGAAAATCGACTACGCGACAACCACAGAGTTCCTTCATCCGTAGCCCTCAGCCGTATGGAAACAGCTGGATGCTTAAGCAAGCGTTTATGATTTAGGGTTTGGTGTTTAGGGGTTTAGGGTTTGTAGAACCCTGACCGTAACCCTAAAACCCTCGAACCTCCAAACTCTGAAGATTTAGTTTACCCTAAACATTACACTCTAAACCGATTGAAGCCCCAAACTTCTGAACACCCAAAATCCTGACCGAGGCTCCCCGAGGTCATACAGCAGAAGAGGGAGGCAACGCCCCGGTTCGACACACGGGGTTTTAGGGCTTGTGGCTTGTTGTGCTGGAGGGCGGGGGCGGGGAGGGAAAGGGAAAGGGGGGTAGAATAGAAGAACTTTGAGCAGGGATTCTATACTAGGTCTGCATGGTGTCAGGCTGTTACTCCGTCGGGGTGGGCTTGGAACTTCGAATTTTTCACCTGTTTTGGGGTTTATGCACGTGGCGCCTACGGGGTTTGGGTATTTCAGAAGTTTGCATGCAGGGTTTCGGGTCGGAGGTGGTCACAGGCCTGGGGCTAATGTTGAATGAGCAGCAATGCGCAACGATTCGGGCACGTTGACTAGTCCTGAATGCTTCCAGAGACGATGTGGGAATGATTTTCCTTGTAGCTACTGAGGCATATATATATATATATCTCTCTCTCTCTCTCTCTCGTGGCACAGAGTTGGGAAACCGACGTTTCTTGCAGGTATGACAAGAAATGAGCCGTGTCATTCCCAATGTTGCAGTCGGGATAAAAATACTAGAATACCCCCTCGCAATAAACATACTTTCCGAGTAGTTGTTGGGGGGGGAGGGGGGCCGCCCCATTTATATAATGTAAAGGGGAAGGGGTGAGAACCCTTGCAGGAACCCTTGTTAAGTCTTCAAGCCCCCTATACTACACCCTTACAGCAAGCCGTACAATATACCGTTACACCTTTACAGTTAGCCTTATAAACACCCGAAGCCTTCAAGACTAAACCCGCAGCTTGGCTCCGTATAGTAAGTCCGAAAGCCTCCAGGACCCGGCGAAGCACCCAAAACCCTAAACCCTCCAGGACCAGGCGAAGCGGCTCGACCATTTTCTCCGCAAAGTCCGGCCTCAAAAGCAGCCCGAGGCTCGTTGTCTTTAAGGTTTTCTTCAAGGGACTACGCACTATAGGTTTTTATAATAGGGTTGCCTTTAAGGGGCTATAGGGTTCTATAATAGGGTTCCCTTTAAGGGCCGATAGGGTTCCATATTAGGGTTCCGCTTAAGGGAACTACCTGGAACCCCGAAACCATGGTAAATTTTTGGTCGTTTCGAAATGGGCGTATTTGCGCGTAAAAAAAACATCCGGGCGTAAATGTGCGTAACCCTGAAATCTAGGTCTTTGAGTGGGGTACCATATATATAGCCATCAGCCTATGAAATTCCTGAACCCAGCCACGCCCGTAGAATAACCATAAATTTCGTGAATGCACCCAACGACCATAAAAAAAACTAGAAATAACCATAAAAAACAATAGAAAAACAATAGAAAAACCGTAGAAAAACCATAAAAA